GAACACTGACGAGCAGAAATGTTGAGCGCAAGCAACACATTGCAAGCAAGCGCAAATGCAAATGCAAATGCAAAAAAAAAAAAAAAAAAAAAAAAAAGAGCGAGAGGGGCTGCTGTTGTGTGTGGATAATAGCAAACACTGAAATGCATTTTTTGCACGCAGCAATAAATTTTGTTTTTAGCTTTTCTTCACTCAAAATTCCTCCTATAACAGAATCATAACTGTTTTTAATGCAGTGAGAGCATAAAGATCACGACCAGCCAAAAAAAAAACAAAACCTGCATTTAAAGCTTCATGATTATAAGACTAAAAAACACACACTGAACAGTTTAAAAATTCAAACATGCACAAAAACTGGGAGTAGTTAAGCACCATAGAAAGGAGCAACTAGAATAATGACAATAAAGAGAAACACTGAGAGCCTACGGCATTTGCCCAATTATTGCAGAATATGTAGATGCAGTTTTATTGGGACTAAGGAAACTGTCTCTCCAAAATGCCCATTTATACGCAGCCACGTCATTGACTTTGTCTCAGTTAAATTACATTTTACACCGAATCCTAATTTGTTTTCGTTTGGGTCAATTCATTAAATTCCTCCAAAACACTGTAGCTTTAATTGAAAATGTTCTCATTTTAATTCATTTGGACAAAAGCCTGTCTGAGGAAAAAAAGGGTTCTCAAGACTTCAAAAACGGCGAGTAATGAGCTGCCTGCATCCCACTGAAGGAAACTGGTTCAGGTCAAAGATATTGTTCTCACCCTGGGCTTTATGGTCCTCCCCTTACGTCTGCTCTTGACGGGTTGAGAGGAGATGACATCATTCTTGACCTAATCATCAGTGATGGTCAGATTATTGACAGTTAACAGATACAGGTTGTTTCAATCCTTACAGGATTTTTAAATGCAATGTTCTTAACGTGTATTTAAATAAATGTAAAAGATGTGGAGACTGAAATCACTTTTGATTAGTTACACCAAATAATGAAAGACTGGGCCTGTGACCCATGTTTATTGGTCAATGGTAATGCGTTTGGTCTTTAATGAATGCCTTGGGATAGCCCATGAACACAAATGTTTAATCCTACGCTCACATGTCAAATCCAGAAAATAAATGAAATGTTCATTGAGACTCTGCAGAAACACCCAGCACTCCAAGTAAGGTTGCCGCTGCAAACAGAAACAGGCGATGCATAATAGAGTGGCTGTGAGCGGTTAGTGTGTACCGTGTACTCAGAAGAAACTGATTGCAGCAGCTCCCCCTGGAGAGGACCATCATGGCAGGAAAACACCTGGAGCTCTGCTGTCAGGGGACATTGGGTCTCCAGGAGCCCAGTTTGGCTTTCCTCAGCAGGTTCACACACAGGCCCCACGTCAGCATTAATCTTGTTGTACTGGATCGGGCAGGCAATGTTGGGATTCACCAGCAGCCACAGGTTTGGTTTCACAAAAGTATCTGATGCACAGAAATATTCAGTTTGCTACAGTGATCACTTAAGAATAATTTCTCCAACACATGAAGCCAGAAGCATAAAAATCAGAGGCAAGAGTGTCATGTGGATGCTCATTTTCCAGATAAGACATTAAAAACCACATTCTTTGTAACAGTTTCCCTCCTTTCACAGTACACACACAATAAATAAAATAAAATTGGAAAGTAGAGTGGTGGAGCAAAGTTTTGACAAGCAGGCATCTTTTGTGTTTGTCCGTCACTGTGCACTGGCCCAATAAAGGAAGGATGTAAATGCATACTGGTAGGCTACCAAAGCTGAGCATGCAACACTCAAGCACACGCATACAGCACTGTAGTGCCAAACACAAAGCACAAATAATTTCAGTACGGTAACAGAACTGCATCCTTGTGTATTAGAAGAAACGTGCTTTAAGGTAGAAAATAAATAAAAGGATTTCAATCAAATCACACTTCAGTGTGTAAAGCAGCCCAACGTGTGTCCTAAACTGACTGTTTGCCATTTCATTCAAACACTACACAAACCACATTTTCAAATGCAAACTAAGAAACAGAGTGATTGTAAGGAGTCATTTGGTGCTGAGTTATGGGGTGGGACTCAATGCAGCTCACCTGATGTTTTATCGTACCAAATACATTCATCTTTCCTTTCCGAGGTGCTTACAGAAGGCCTCTGGACCACATACTGATCACTCACTTTGTCATCTGTCAGAGACACACAAACACACTAACACACACACACAATGACAAAATACACACCGTCTGATCTTCAGATTGACTCGCTATTTCAGAAGGAATTAAAAACTGCTCATCCATATGACAAAATAAAGAGCAAACACTACTGAAGAAAAAAATTATCCATCACCATGATATAACTGGTCAGTGGTTGTAGCCAGTTTCAGCTCCTTGTCCATGTCCCAGTCAGTCAGACCAACAGAGCAATGCAGATCAAAGAGTTGTGCTTTGGTTTTAAGCTGTAAGGTCATAGCTGAATGCATTTCAGTGGTTTGGTTCCTCTCTGTGCAACAGAAGCTCTTAAATGTGGGGGCCTGCAGACTGTCTATACAACAGCTGGAGCTAAACAGCCTAATTGGACACAATTAATCCTAACAGGATGCAGCCTGTGACGACTGGACACATTTAGGTCTACAGTAAGCAGAAATTTCAATTCAGGTGTAAAAAGTCAAAGTAAATAACACCTTCCAAAAACAAGATTCTCAGTCTGAATCAATTAAACAGCATCACCTGTATTATACATATACATATACATACA